GCTTTAGGTACGAAAGCCAGCTGGGCGACATTGGGTCAATCACCAGGAGACGGTGAGTTCTAATCCCTCCTTGGGCACCAGGCTAGAAGCTGGAAGATGGTGAGTTCTAGCCTTATCTTAGCCAGGAAAGCCAGCCCACCTCACAGGGTTGTTATTGTGAGGAGGAGGAGGAGGAGGAGGAAGGGGCATCAGGTATGTTCCCCACTTTGAGTTATTGATAGAAAATGACAGGGTAGAATCGATTTAAATCAGGTTTAAATCACGATTTAAATCACCAGTAAAAAGGCTTGATTTAAATCAACTCGATTTAAACCCTCATTTTTAAAGAGCCGCTGTTATCTCTGCTCCGCAGGCAGCTCCTCCTCTGACCCGATGTCGACTCCCCGACAGTCCCAATATTGCAGAATCTGCAGCCTCGTGTGCCACAGAACGAGGCTCCATTTCCTGCCGAATAAACTACATTATTCATGTATCTTAAATAGAAAACTATCTTTAGATTTATTTTTTTTACTCCAAACGTATTTTATTAAAATAAATTTGATAAAAATATAAAAAAAAACAATTTAAAATTTTAAAAATCCTTTTTTTTTTAACTTTAAAAAAAATCATCAATTTTTATCCACCCTGGAAAATAATAAACATGGGATAGAATAAGTCATGATAATAATAATAATAATAATAATAATAATAATAATAAAGTGCAAAATGTGAATTTCTAGAGGAAAAGCGAGAAACCCTTTTAAACACCGTTTGAGAAACCATTTTCAAGCCTTCTTCCAGCTCTATTCTATTCTACGAACTCCACGCAAATGTGCACAACTGAAGAGAAACCGGAGTCACGAGTCTTGCAGAATTAAACTGATGAAAAAAAAAAACAGGGCAAAAGCAGGACATCAGGATGGAAAAACGGGCCATGAAGCCCAGCTCAGCCCAACGACTCGCTGAAATGAGACATGGGATCTGCAAAAGGACTTTTTTTCTTCCTCCTCCTCCTCTGGTTGAGAGGTTGCGTTGCCCAAAGGGACGAATTCAAATCGGACTCGCTTACGAAATCTCCCCGTGATCTCTCCCTGGAGACAGGGGTGTTTTTTTCCCCAGTTCATTTTCAAATGTTATTAATTCTCTAACAAACAGTTCTCTCTCTTGAGCCTGGCCTGCGATCCAATAGCCTTAGGAAGAAAAAAAAAACACACACAAAACGACGGGTGGAGATGAATTGGTCTGAATTTCCTCCGGCGTCTCTTTTTGTAAATCGGAAGTTGAAACAAGGGCGCCAAAAGATTTCTAAGCTGGGATGCTGAGTGTATGACGATGGCTTTTGTCAAAGGAAGCCCAGGACGCTCCGAACTGCTAAGGAGAGAGAAGTCGCCATCTTGGCGCCTGCAAGCGGAACCTCTTTCGGGTGAAAGCATCTTAAATTGGCTCTTGGCCTCTGCGTTTAAATGTTAAATCTCCGGCTGGCAAAAAAAGAATTTAATTTAATTCGTGGTCAAGAGAATTGCAGGAGTCAGAAAAACCTCCAACAGAAGGTAAAAGGCCCCTCGACATTATACTATACCAGTGGTGGCTATCCTTTTTTGGGCTCCCGTGACGAAAATCTCGTGCGGGTTATTTCCGGAAATACCGGAAGTGCCGAAATGGACCCATTTTTCGGCCTCCAAAGTCTGCGGAGGCTTCCCTCGAGCCCCAGGGAGGGAGAAAAAGCCCCCCCCCCCAGGCTCCAGAGGCTGAAAACGGGCACTTTCGGTATTTCCAGAAGGCCCATTTTTCTGCCTCCCGAGGCTGCAGAGGCTTTCCTCAGGGAGGCCGAAAACACCCTCAAACGGGCCGAAAATCAGCTGGGAGGCGCGCGCGTGTGCAGTGCAGGTAAGTATGGCTGGGGCTTGCGTGCCTGCACAAATGGTTCCGCGTGCCAACCTGTGGCACGCATGTCATAAGTTTGCCATCATGGCTATACACTATACCCGTGATGACGAACCTATGTCATGCGTGCTGAAAGTGGCACGCAGAACCATTTCAGCTGGCACGTGAGAGGTCACCTGGAACAGCACCACTGCGCATGCGCTCCCCCCGCCTGCTAGCTGATTACTGGCTATCTGCCGTGCATGTGCAGGAGATGCGCGTGCATGCGGAGGCGCGTAGCACAGGGGATTGTGCGTGTGTGTGCAGAGGGTGGGGGGGTTGTGCGCACACTGCATTATGGGTGGAGGCACATATGCATGTGTACACACACTTTTGGCACACGACAAGAAAAAAGTTAGCCATCACTGCACTATATTATTACTATTACTATTAGCATACTATGATACCAGAATTCCATATCATACTGTCATGCGCCCTAGAATTTGACTCCGAGGGAGAAGAGGAACAGCCGACAGGGAGTGGGAGTGCGGCTCCGGAGGTTGTGGAGGAAACTGGGAAAGGGCACAGGCTGACTAGGCATTCAGAGGAAGACCCAGGCCCATCCCCTCTTCATCCTAGGGCACACAGGGAGGAGCGGATAAGGGAGAAATGTGAATGGCCTGGTCTACGGGGAGGAAAGGGCCCTGATCCCCTTCATGGGCTGCAGCTGGGAGGACTATTTAGGACAAACTGCGCATGGCCCAGTGCTGGAAGCAAAGCGTGAAATAATTCTAGTCTGTCGGTTATCTGAGTTCTGGCGTCCTTCCCTGTGTGTGTGTGTGTATTTCGATATCTGTGGATGTCCTCAAGTCCTTATCCTGCCTTGTCTCATTAATTGCTTCAGTGTGGTTTGTGTTGTTTTTTCCTATTGATAATTTATATGTATTTTGAGTTTGAACGGCATTTCTTCCTTCTCGCAACGTTTGTGGAGGAGTTTTTTCTCCAGTCAATGATAAGTGAACCTTGGAGGCCAAGTTGAAGGAATTAAAGGGACTTCACCTATTTTTGTGACTTTGTTGCTTTTGTATCCCACCTCGGGTCATCACACCAGGGGTGTCAAACTCAAGGCCCGTGGAGCCATCCCGGAAACAGCAGACCGGCCCGTGGTGCCTCTGCCAGTGAAAATGGGAGTTCGGGGAGGCTGCGTGAAGCCCGCCTGGCCTCAGTTTTCGGTCACCTGGGCTCTGTTCACGGCCTCCCCGAGCTCCGTGGGCTCCAGGAAGCCATTATGGCCAAAAATGGAGCCTCAATGAGTGATGTCAACCTGGCCACACCCACCCCGGCCACGCCCACCCACCCGACTCTGAGGTCAAACACAACACTGATGCAGCCCTCAATGAAATTGAGTTTGACACCCCCGCCCTAGATCAAATCAGACCAGAGGCAACTTATGACCGTTTCACACTTATGACTGTTGCACCATTCCCGTGGCCATGTGATTTACATTCTGATACTTGAGACCTGACTCACATTTATGACCATCGCAGCGTCCCCAGAGGGAGCAGCATTCCCCAACATTAAATGAACAAAATCCAAGCGGGAGGTATTTATGTCGGTTGCACAGTCACCCAGCAGGCTTTCATGCCTAAGGCGGGACTAGAACTCGCTGTCTCCTGGTGATTGGCCCATAGTCACCCAGCCTGTTTTCATGCCTAAGGCGGGACTAGAACTCACCGACTCCTGGTGATTGGCCCAAAATCACCCAGTTGGCTTTCACGCCTAAGGCGGGATTAGAACTCACCGTCTCCTGGTGATTGGCCCAAAGTCACCCAGCTGGCTTTCATGCCTAAGGAGGAACTAGAACTCACCAACTCCTGGTGATTGGCCCAAAGTCACCCAGCTGGCTTTCATGCCTAAGGCGGGACTAGAACTCACGGACTCCTGGTGATTGGCCCAAAGTCACGCAGCTGGCTTTCATGCCTAAGGAGGGACTAGAACTCCCCGTCTCCTGGTGATTGGCCCAAAGTCACCCAGCCGGCTTTCATGCCTAAGGCGGGATTAGAATTCACCGTCTCCTGGGTGGTTGAACTCACCATCACCCAACTTCTAGCCTGGTATTCAAGGAGGGACTAGAACTCCTGGTCTCCTGGCGATTGACCCAAAATCATGCAAACCAGCTTTCATTTCTAAAGTGGGACTGGAACTCTCACACTTATAACCATTGCAGCATATCCCCACGATGACGTGATCAAAAACTTGGGCGCTTGGTTAATTGGCGTGTATTATGACAGTTGCATCGCCCGGGGAGGGGTGGGGGAACGGAGAGATTCGCTTAATGGCCACATGATTCACTTAGCAAACGGGGCGGAAAAGGTCATAAAACGGGGCATAATTCATGTAACAACGGCGTCGCTTAGCAAGCGGATGCCAGCTGCCACCTGACGGGGGCTAGTGCTTTGCAACTATGGGGTTAAGAGAGCGCCATGAGCTATGGATAGCGGCGGGATGAAGGGGAGGGAATACTGGAGGAAACGAAAGTTACCGTTATCTCCTCCAGAGGCTGCCTCAAGGTCACCCAGCTGGGAGAAGGAGGGGGCTGCGTACCAACCTGCGCTTGGACTGACCGTTAGGAAAACATCTTGCCTGAACCCAAAGGAAGGGAAAAGTAGGACAATCACTTCTGGCGCAATAGGCTTGATCTCAAATAAACTATACCTTTCTCAACAAATGGAGCCGAGGATGGTTTCTATGTAGAGGTTCAAGTGGAGACAGGTCTGACAGAACGGCTTAGAAATAAAAGCAATTGATAATAAAAGTGGTTTGTGGACTGCAAAGAGCAGTTTGGTCTACTATTTATTAAGGCAGAAAGTCCGGCCTTTGGCATGAAAGCCGGCTGTGTGACTTTGGAACAGCCACCAGGAGACGGTGAGTTCTAGTTCTGCCTTTGGCATGAAAGCCGGCTGTGTGACTTTGGAACAACCACCAGGAGACGGTGAGTTCTAGTTCTGCCTTTGGCATGAA